CCGCTAGCCCTTGAGAAAGGTAAACCGAATCAATGCAGAGACAAATCTGGTGGTTGAAGCATTCCATACATCGTGTGTTCTCAATGAACGGGTTTGATCTGTTCCCCATGCATGCCTACACAGAACGCCAGTCATTTCCAACATGCCACTTCTTACTGTAGATGTACACTTGTGTATATGGGACTGCGCCGTATATTTACCAGATTTACAAGAATGAACGATCGAAATAATTAAAATATGGTATTTTACCCCAATCCGATACCAGTTTGCGTTGAACCCAAGGATCTACATTGTAGGTAGAGGGAATTTTGACTGCACGCAAACTTTAAAGCTGAATATACACTCTATTTCTATTACATATATGTTTGCATGTGCACAGTTTCTTGTACGTGAAAGAGAGTCATTATTTAGTCCAGATCACGTTTCAAATATTGAATGAAAACGTATTCAAGTACACGGTTAACTGTGAAAATAAAATAGAAAGGCATGACATATGTACAATTCCACTGGACCTGTTTGTCAAGCGAGGACGACAGATCCACCAAACAGCATATACAGATGACGCATCAGTTTGTACAGATGTTGGGCGAACTGATGTTCAATAGCTTCCTCCATTTCTTATTTTTTTCAGTAGAATCTACATGTCAGTGGAAGTGAAATTCCAAATACCAAACGAAGAAAATAATTGAGCATTGGGATCACGCCTTGTTAATCCAGTCTCATATGGTGAAACTTCCCGGATCCGACAGTTTCGTACTATGATGAGGATAGTAACCAGTATATTGTTGCTCCAGCGAGGTGTTCAAGATGCACAAGTTAAACTATACACGAGGAAAAAGTATCGCAACACCTAATACTTTTACTCAATTTCTTAAATATTGCCATATAACAACATTATGAAAATAAATGAAAGCAATAACCTATTACGTGCATGTCGTTGCTTTTTAACTTCTACAACTTCTCTCCAGCAACGTTGTACAATCAAACCTCAGTCCTCTCTTTTCGATAAACTCTCACGGACTAAGACTGATCTAACGATTGCTGTTGGCAAATAACATATATGTTTCCTTCCACAAAGATCTGTAAGAGAGAAAGTAAGCGAATTTCGTTTACGCCGCTTTAAACAGTACATCACGGTGTAATGTGTGTGGGAAAGCCGAAGTGAAAGCCATGATCATTGGGTACTGGCGTCAGCAGGGGACGCAACTGTGCTGCGAATTCAGTCGGCCATGGACGACTGGGTCCCCGTATTTCCCTAAGAGCTACAGGTGTTCGAGAGTTGATGGTCAAATGTTAAACGATTATGAGTCAGGACATATTAAAGTGTTCAATTATATTAATTAGTGAGTGAGTAATGGTTTACGCCGCTTTTAGCAATAGTCCGGCAATATCACTGTGGGGACTCCAGAAATGGGCTTCGGCCTGACGTGCGAACTCTTTAACCACCAAGCTTCCCTACAAAATATTAACATACATTAGTAAATGTACACCTATGGTACAGGTACTATGGAGCTAATGGTCTTGGTGCAGTCTCGAAGTGGTAATACTTATGCCACTTGTAAGTTGATCGAGTAAACTAAAGCGTTACTATTACAACAATAAACTGTCATTACCTTGTTAGATGCATTCAAAACAAAAACACGAGGACTAACGCGCTGAATCACGAAAAGTGTATTGGAATGCGGAAGCGGATGCTTCGTAGTTACGTAACTAAAGTAAGACCAGAAATGATTGGAAAATGCTTTTGGCTTCAATATCAATATGATGAATTTGACACGAGATAGAAGCGCATATATGATACATGTACGACTCTACCTAGTTGGATATTAAAGCTCAGATGAAAAAATGCACTTGAGGGGTGACTTCACAGGAGGAAATTTTGACGTTTTAACAACATTCGTAATATTCTAAGTACAAACTGTAGTTTTGAAATACAGACTATATATAGCCTCAACTAGTTAAATTACATAAATGATTGTAAAAGTTTTTTGTTTTTTTTAACATCTATGTGTGAAAAAGATGGAACTCTTGTAGTAGTTTATATTCAAAATAATTACGCAAAAAAGTCTTAATATAAATCGCATAGATAATCTTGTTGATCCATAGGAGTTTCACTTCGTGTATGAGCATTGAACTGGCAACATGCGACTTGATATCTCTGCAGAACAATTAATTTCAAATTTATACCAGTATTTCAGACTGGAGAAACAAAGGGGGAAACCTCTCGTCAGCTATGACAGGGTTTACTATAGAATGTGTAAAGCCCTTAATTTGACATATAGTCAGGTTTACAAACTTGTAAACAAATCAGTTACCTCAGGGGTCGTGTCAAAATCAAAACCAGGTAGGAAACACAAACTGGATAGCTTTCATAAGGGTGTCATACGCCGTGCAGTTTTTAAACTTTATGAACGCAAAATCCCACCGACGTGTGCTAAAATACAAGATGAGATCAAAGATACAATAAATGTCTAGAAAACAACACTTATTGTAGCTATGGTAGAAATGTTGTTCAGGTACACCAAAAGGGGAGATGGCAGAGCTGCATGTTTAGAGAAAAGTACTCAATCCTGTCCATGCGATCAGCTTATCTCAGAACAGTTGAAGAATACCGCAATTTGGGGTTTCAAATCATATACCTTGTAATAAAAATCACTCAACCGATCGGATGTGGCTTCCTTCAGATTGTTCTAAGGCACCAGTGTTACCATCAGGCAGGGATAATCTACAACCTCATATAGTCTCCCTGCATCAGGTAAAGGTAGACGCCTGATCATCTTGCATGCTGGTACCCGTAACAAGGGACTGATTGGGGGTTGTGACTTTGTTTTTGAGGCCAAGAAATCTGATGGTGATTACCATAGCGTAATGAATGGGCAGGTATTTTTGGATTGGTTCGAACTTCAGCTTTACCGCAGCTGGACGAACCAAGCGTTATCATTTTGGATAACGCCAGTTACCATAACCTGCGTGTCCCTGGTACCATCACACCCACCATGAGCAATCTCAAGGCTCAGTTGCATGATTTTCTCACTTCCTGTAACGCTCCTTACAGACAATCAGAAACAAAGCCCCAGCTCATGGAAAAAGTCCGGCAGCACAAAAAGCCAATCCAGTACATCACTGACGAACTAGCTGCAAAACAAGGCCTCGTAGTTCTGCGTACACCAGTACGGCACTGTGAGCTCAATCCCATCGAGCTGATCTGGGGTAACTGTAAGAATTTTATTGCTCGCAATGATACCACATTCAAGCTTTCAGACGTTAAAGAGCTTGTGTATGCTTCTTTGCGGGGATTACCCAGAAGTGTGGCAAAAGACTGAAGACAGTGTTCTCAAAATCGAGGACGAATACCGTCTGCGGGACGGAGTATACGTCAGCCGAGTTGCACCTGTTGTTATTCAGCTAGAGTCCTCGACACTTGATATTTTGAGACGGTCCCTGACATGTTCTGCCCGTGTGTTACATAACGCTGTCACCCTGTCTGCCTGCCAGGTGGGTCACAGTATAGTTTGTTTCTTTAAAGTGTTGCTCCCATGGAATTTTTTTAAAGTTTTTCGAAATTTTACGAGTAATCATTATGATAAGGGAATGATACATCGTGATTACTCATATGCCATATTAGGTCGAGTGATTATGAATGATTATATATGAGTTTTGAATCTGAAATATCAACCATTATCAAATAATTGCCATAAAGCATTTTCCAAGCATTTCTAGCCTTACTTTATAGTCTGTTTGCAGTGAAAACGTACCGATGAATTGCACTTTAAACAAAAAACTAAACCAAATAAAGTGAAATTAAGATTGCGAGTCCTCATAATTTTACCTTGCCAATTGGAAATTTAAGTCTCAGAATTTTATTTAACTTAGGATAAAAGTTGTTTAACAAACGATCATAGATTGAAATCGTTGTTATTGGTTTGTATTACAAGGGGGTGAGCGCAGTAGATGGAACAGTGAAACAAATGCACGTGCGGAACGTGATGAGCGTTAACTTAAACCAACACTACTTGTTCTCGGTGTTTCATATAAAGTGCCTACCCCCTTGTAATGCAAACCAATAATAGCGATTTGAAACTATGATCGTTTGTTAAACAACTTTTATCCTAAGTTGAATAAAATGCTGGGATTTGAATGTTCAATTGGCAAGGTAAAATTATGAGGATTCGCAATCTTAATTTCACTTTATTCGATTTACCTTTTTTGTTTAGAGTGAAATTCATCGGTACGTTTTCACTGCAAACAGACTATAGTTTAATTTGTAAAATAGCTGGATGAAAATTATTACTATTGCGACGTAACACAACGGGACTTTCACTTGAAGAGTTGGTCATATTAGTATTCATTTAATGCCAGCACAATTTCATTCATTAATATGCACGCATTTACTATATTACAAAATCGAAACGATGTTCATGAATTCTTTAAATTCAGTTTACAAAAGTATTAGTATTTACTGTCTATATGTTTTACTTTAATCGCTATTCAGAATAGTACAATGAATCAGTAATATTGATCTAAAGCCAGTCAGGATAACTTTTGTACACCGTTGCTATTTAATTTTTCAATGATATTCAAAACCTGTCCCTGTTAATTACTAAATGAGTACATTTTGCGATGTACATTGGTCTGTTGTAAAACTAAACAATAAATTGATAAAGTGAGTGAGTATGGCTTTAAGCCGCTTTTAGCGATATTCCAGCAATATCACAGCGGAGGATACCAGAAATGGGCTTCCCGCATTATACCCATGTGGGGAATCGAACCCGGGTATTCGGCGTGACGAGCGAACGCTTAACCACTAGGCTACCCTACTGCTCCTAAGATTAAGTGCATTTGATCAAAATGGTGCAACGTCAAGCGCAAAATCTGCTGTAAACTGGTCCCGCTTGATTAATTAGACAGGAGCCCAGTCAACATTTTGCGCGAAATTGTGCATGACACCACCTGATAAGTGACGTTATTGTGACGTCATTATATGAATGACGTAATAATCTATTAGGCCTGTCTTGAGAATAATCGCTGTTTGTATTCACGTAAACAAGAACAATCACCATGTCTTCGACCCCGACTGAAAAGGGAAAACGTGAGTACTGCAAGTAACAAATTGCAATATAAGGAAGGTCTGACGCTTGTAAACGATTAAGTATCCAACTTGCACTAACCTGATGGATGATAATGCCTGTCAGCGAGGATGAGATTTCGAGGCTATCATATGAATGACCGAAAGACCACCTCCATTGACAAGAGGATATATGATCACACGGCTGCCCCCAAAAGTCTAGGGTTTATACCCTGACAGTGTCACACCAAAAACGTTAATTTGGTAATGAGCGTGTTAATTGGTACGAACTCAGAAGGTTATCTTGTATTCTTTACGGCTTGAGGTAGGCAAGCACTAGCTAGGCTACTAAAACCATCATTTTGCCTATTCTTGGCAAGTGCACGCACGCATGCATGTACTGTACACACTCACATACGCACTAACACGTACTAACACACTGTCGCATTAAGAATCTTGAAAGCTTCGTAAACTCGATTAAATCAAAACGAATGTCATGGTATATATTGATGAAAATTGTTTCCCCACGATTACAGGAACGAGCCTTTTGACATGTATATTTTGAGACCCAAGCACTGTGCACAGCTGCCCCCTTTATATAGCTTTTACGATGTCTGTGTTATCTCAAACATTGTTCCGAGAAAATTTGTGATGCTGTGATGTTGGTTGACGACATTAATGCAGTTCAGTAGGGGAACGCACATTATTTTAAATTGACCCTTGGAACAGTAAATATTGAAACATATCACAGAGAATATGAAGATATATAGATGAGCAAATCGGAAATTGCAACGACATTGGCAGCGTTTGCAACTACCTGTTTTTAGTGACAAACATTTTGGCATTAATTTTTATTTGATACATTTATCTTCAAAAGTAAAGTTCAAGAAAGGACAGCAAAGAGTTTGGTCAAATCAACAATGGACATGGTGTACATTTAGTTTTAATACTCAAATAACATTTCAGAGAGAGACGCAAGACTACTGACATCTGTTGAATGATTCGAATGTGATCAGTTTGCCAATCTCATGAAAAGATATCATTGTTTGAAAACAATGATGTGAACTAAATACATGTTCTGTGTCATACATCTCTCACAGCTGCAAAGATCCCACGACCAATGAACGCCTTTATGATTTTTGCAAGAGAGTATCGCCCGAAGGTGAAGAAGGAACACCCGACAGAGGAGAATCATGTCATCAGCATCAGGTGAGTCAACGTCATCAGCATCAGGTGAGCTCTCATTAACAGCATCAGGTGAGTTATGGTTATGAGCATGGATAACCAGTGTTATTACATGCCAGTATCATTTCTACAGGGGAATCAGTTCCCTCAGTTTCAGATAAATAGTCATTTCCATAAGTTTCAAGTTAGTCTGTCTGTGTCCAACTGTTCGATGAATACATGCCACCAGAGGCCAGTGTCCTCCATGTCATGTGAGTCACCACAGGACACCCAGGGAGTCAGTGTCGATCGCTAATGCTACGTAGTGTGGTCAGTGTCTTCAGTATCAGGTGAAAAAATGACACCATTGTGACCACTGACCAACGAATCACTGTCTGGTCGTTTCAAGTCATTTGAGTCTGATACCTTCTAAAACTGTCCCAAAACTCAACCCAAATTCACAATGATAACCACAAACTGGTACAGTTTGCGATTACTAATCAGAATGAATGGTTTTAGCTTCTGAAAAATACATTTACCATGGAGAAAGACCTCCAAATAAGTCTTGTTATATTGACCTCTGCTTGATGTGTGCTTCAGACTGGGAAAGCTGTGGGCAGCTCTGGGGGAGGTGGAGAAGGATCACTACCAGGAACTGTCAAGAGAGGCTGTCAACGAGCACAGGAGGAAATACCCAGGTCAGGTACAGAAAGAGATATTCGATACCGTTTCACATGAAATACCATAGGATGACTATAGGATTTGAATCGATGAAGTAGATTCATTTTTTCAAGTGAGTAGTGCTATATAGCTGGAACTAAAATTGCAGAATTGTGAAGTTTTGGAGTAAATATATATACACGGTTACACACTTCCTATGACCATTTACGCACTCTGATAAACATTTGACTCGACTATCGGGAATATGCAAAGAGTGCGATTGTTATGTTTCAGACTACAGATATGAGCCAAAGCCAAAGATCAAGAAGAAACGTCGTTATGATCAGTATCTGTTAATGGACAGACTGCGGACGGCTGCAGCAGATGCTGCACGGGAACAGAAGGAGGAAGAGGAGGCAGCAAGAAACATCAAAATCTCAGCATCTGCTGCAACACCTTCACCTGCAGCAGCAACCTACACCTCTTCCCGGTCTCCGTGGGGCACACACCCTTCCCTCCCCTCGCATCTCCCGGCGACAGGACTCCCCCAGAACTATTACTATCCACAAGCCCCCAACATCACCCCTGCCCACTCACAGCCAACCAAGCCAGCCTACCTCACTGGTCACTACAACCAGGGGGCTCCTCTGCCCTATCAATACACCGGCCCCTACACCCCTGTGGTGTCCCCAGGGGATCTGGGACAGCCTCTAGACATGACAGTCTGCAGCAACATCAGACCAACATCTGAAGGCACTGGTAAGGTGTACTGTGAGCTGACCACACCGTCCCAGAGAAGAACAGGGGATGTGCCTGCTCACTGCATCTACAACTGGCCATCACAGGCCGCTACGGGCTACCACAGTCATTGGTCAGATGGTTACAGACTGGAGGCAGCTTCTCGAAGCCCCACAGAAGAACCTGGTCGAACAATGTCCTACATGGGGCCTGCTATGTACAGCGAGAGACCAGCTTCCACCAGCCACACTTCAGCTGCTGCCCCGGGAACCTCCTCCAAGCCTGGTGAGTGGACAGATATGAGTTTGTGGTGTATGTGTGTTCGATTAAACTGTCACAGTGAGTCTTTTTGAAATTTTGCTCAGATATAGTAATTAGTATAGTCCGGCATTGCTTTGAGACTGCCTCCTTAAATGCAAATCTGATTATGAAGCAAAAGAAGTACTAAGCTACCGCGGCTTCCAGAGTGAGTTAGACGGCTGACTTTATGTGCTGACAATTAGGTGTCTGACTATGATAGTGTGGGTTCGATTCCCAGATGGGACTCAACCACACTAAAGTACTAGAGGTGAGGTGAGGTGAAATTGGGTTTAACGTCGTGCTTGAGAATATTTCACTCATATGACGACGTGAATCCATGTGTATGTGTATGTGCGGCTGCTTGTACTAGCCCAGACTTAAGCTGGTTTTATAGTGCCAGCTCACTGAGATACCATGCCGCAGTGAAGCATGAATACCCCACTCAGACACATTATACTGACTCCGAGCCGACCAGTCCTTGTACCCATTAATGCCGAGCGCAAGGCAGGGACCAACAAGTACCATATTTTAACGTCTTTTGGTATGACGCGGTTGGGGATCGAACCCGCGACCTTCCGCTCTCCGGGCGGAACTAAAGTACTAGAATCTGTACTTTACTAAGAAAGTGTAATCCAAATATAACAGGTGTTACATCTGACCACTTTCTAAAATGTCATTTGTGTTCATAATATGTAATGGGTCATAAGAGGAATGCAATCTGAAATGACATTTATAGGTTTTAATGATGAACCCTCCCAAAGTCTGAAACCAAATCTCCAAATTCAGTAATATCATAATCAAATTTATAAAATAATATCACAAGCAGTGACCTTGAAAATGAACCTCATATGAGCGCCTGTCATATATTCATTAATTTCACTTACTGTATCAATTGCAATATGATGGATTTGGATGTCTTCATGCTCACTTACAATATCCGTCCACTAATCATTATTTCAGATACCAGTAAGCCAGATCTGGTGTGGATACCTTGTGAGCCTGAGTTTGCCCGCAAAATGGGATGGCCTGTTGATCCCAGCATGCAACATGGCACTCAAAGTCCCAGCAGTCAGTCCCAGAGATCGCACATACCCATGTGATGCCAGTGCTGGCTTTCATCTGCCCCCATACCCTCACTTGTAACGATTCCGACAAAGACATCGCTATACATTTAGTTATGAAAAGTCTGTTCGAAAAGAATTGTAAATTGTTTATCTTCCTTGAAAGGTGTTCTCAGGTCTTTGTTATTAATTTTTAACTATAATTATGTGCAACAACTAATTTCAATTAAAATCTTCTCTTTTTTCAAATGTGTATGTATACATGTTGAAGTTGAAAGCACGTAAGGACATGTTATATATTTATAATAACTGACCTGAAAAGTGGCTCACCATGTTGCCCTGCTAAGAAGGAAATACTCACTGCTTCATGAGTCGTATTCAGAACCTAATTACTTCACTTCTCAAAGATAATTGAAGCAGGGGTGGAAATAACTTTAAAATTGCTAGTGTACTCCGGTACAGTGGCACATGTAAAATCACTTGCCCTGATAATTTTTCCACTATACCGGCCGTTTTCTTGTTGATTTAAAAAAAAAAAACATAATTAATATTGGAAAGTCAACTGGACACCAGTACAGTGTGATATACAAATTTTCTTGCCCGACAAAAAAACACTGGACTCGGGCGTCGGGCAATGGGTTATTTCCACCCCTGACTGAAGTGAAGCTGTTATTCAGTTTGTTGCTTGAGTCTAGTGACAGTCCCATACAGATACCCTGAAAACACTGTATGACTGTTGGGACACCAGGAGTTTGTTGGTTGAGACTAGTGACAGTCGCATACAGATACCCTGAAAACATTATATGACTGTTGTGACACCAGGAGTTTGTTGCTTGAGACTAGTGACAGTCCCATACAGATACCCTGAAAACATTATATGACTGTTGTGACACCAGGAGTTTGTTGCTTGAGACTAGTGACAGTCCCATACAGATACCCTGAAAACATTGTATGACTGTTGTGACACCAGGAGTTTGTTGGTTGAGTCTAGTGACAGTCCCATACAGATACCCTGAAAACATTGTATGACTGTTGGGACACCAGGAGTTTATTGGTTGAGTCTAGTGACAGTCCCATACAGATACCCTGAAAACATTGTATGACTGTTGTGACACCAGGAGTTTGTTGCTTGAGACTAGTGACAGTCCCATACAGATACCCTGAAAACATTATATGACTGTTGTGACACCAGGAGTTTGTTGCTTGAGACTAGTGACAGTCCCATATAGATACCCTGAAAACATTATATGACTGTTGTGACACCAGGAGTTTGTTGGTACATCATCATGTCCTGACAGGCGATACACTTAGCCCATACAAAGACAAAACAAACAGTAACATTCTGATTTGTTTATTATACAATGAACATGAAAACATTAACAGGAACCACACAAGTGGACAACGTACTGCTGATGTGTCTCAATGATGTTACCAAAATGAAAATATCCTAATTACAATCAATGTGTCATTGTTTCCATCAAATCCGGTATTTGTAACATTTGGGGATGAGAATTTTCTTATTTTTGTTATGTCAAAGATCTCTTTTGACATACATGCCTGTTTTTCAATATATCTTTTCAAGAAAAAAAGAAATATCTGATACTTTCATAACCCCACCACTGAACCAAGATAAACTGGAACTGCTGTTTTCATTGCCAAGTATTGCAATTCATAGTGCAGGGAAATATCTCTTCACATTTCATGATGCAGCTAGAGATCTACTGGTGACTGAACAGCAGGGCAGGACACAACCTGTACGTGGACTAGACTCCCTGGTCACAGATAACCATTTACACAGCATCTCATTCTGAGATCTGAAGACTGTCTTCCATGACGTCAAGCATATCTTCAGTGATTGGAGACGTTGTTTGGCTTGTTGGTCTACTTGTATATACACAACGATAAAATCAAGAGTCAAAGTCCTTGCATGCTCCATAAAACTGAAACTGAGCAGGGTGACACCCACTGGTCACTGTTGGACGTGGTCAAGTTCCAGTCAGTCAGTAAGCCAAGATGTCCACTTATCAAAGTCAATTCACGCCTCTCAATGACCCCTCAGTGTTAGTCACCTCCCTGGCAGAAAAAATCAAAACAAGACTTTCAGTCTGACAACTTTGAAGAAGCTTCTCTTAAGAAAATCATTTTACATAACATTACCTGAATACTTTATTCTTAAAGATATAAGTCTGAATAAGCAATTCACACAAAAATAAAAGAACAGTAGTAATTTCTCAGGACAGGATTGTGGAGATATAATATATCCGGTCAATCAAGGTATTTTCACATTGCATCTTAGGACAATGGGTAAATGAAATAGATCAGTCTGTTGGCATTTAAACACATTTAATGACATATATTACCTACCTCCTTCCCTTTCCGTAGCTTCACCTCCAGCCTGGAACATCAACATCAGTATAGTAGAATATTTCACAGCCATTCAACAATTACAATCTCGTCTTTATTGTTTTAACTAAATGCCTATATGTTCACAATCCAATGCTACGTACCGCCATACATAAACATACATAATTAGGCCCATTTGCATACAGTAATAACTGAGATAACCAGATGTAATTCAACTCATTAAAATTTAGCACCAGGCAAGAACAACTAGTCAACCTTCGTTGACTAGAGATTCCCTACAAGGAAAGGGAGGTAACTCTGCGTAATCTGTCTGACTGCAGTTTTGGTACAGGTTATACTACACTAAATGAGAATCGCTTGCTCACTGAGCGAGATGCGTATGTAAACAAATGAAGAGATAAAGACGTGTGACAGCTGTGATTGGATGAAATAGTGTAAGATGTTTATGTTTTTTAAAAGCATATCCAACCAGTAATTAAAACTGACCACAATTTTAAGTATTCAGTGCTGTGATTTCCATCACCATGACTTATGCTTATTGTGTGTACAGATATTTTCCAGTAGGTGACATTTGGTGCGGATCTGGGGTTGATGTGTTCCGCTTCCTGTGCTCGCAAAACGAGCCGGACAAGTTGGCCAGATAGTGTGTTTTTATGGTAGTTTAAAGGCCAGAGTGTACCCATGTGCACATGGAATGGCTGTTGATAGCCTGGATTATTTTAAAAAAAATATAAGGCTACTATAGAAGTCTATGGGAAAACATTTGGTGTTGTGTAACCTGTAGGGTTCGAGCACTTTTCAGTAATTCATACTTTACATGATTTCCTGTGTTTATTTCACCATGGAAACATGTTAGCATTAATGTAGAGGCAAATTTAAAGGTACTGGGAGTAAAGATAGGGCTGTTTTGAGTGGAATAGATTGTTTTAGTGTCCAGAATATGAACGTTGCTTCGTTTTGTGGTCGAACAGTGGGAAAAGACCCTCACGGTGAGTCTTACCATCAAGTAGTGGTTCCCTGGCTTCTAAATTTGTTGGAACTGATGAATTTGACAACAAATTAGGTTAAAATCACCACTGCCACAACAATGTGAGTGTCTAAGATCATCTCCTGAGGGTCAATTTGAAGTCAAATGATAAGAATATCATGAAATTTGTTCACTGCTGACAGCAGAACATGTCACAAACCCTTGTTTTAAATGCAAACAGTGTAGCATATGATCAATTCTTTCTGCCTGTCCCCATTTGAATATGCAACGACCTAATTTTCTTTTCCTTTTTTAAAAATATACCCCTTTTTTCACTCATAGGACTTTCAAAATGAATTTCTGTTTTATTAACAACTGTCTCATTGCTGTTATAGATTTTATGATTTGACATTTAATGTAATCTCAACACTATTTTCAGCTTGTAGAATGCCTGTTGGTGAATGGGGAGGTGTATCTTCACAAATACAGCAGAAAGAAGCCTACACATCCAATGTGGTATTTCGACATGCGGCCGAGAAGTCTGTTGTTGGCAGTGTCTAATCAAGCATACTCCCTTTGCTTCGATATGCTTCACCGCCTTGTAGAAGTTGCAGTACTTGGACATGTAGGTACCTATAGTACATTTAAGTGTCCCAGTCCAGTTAAGGCACCAAAATGTCTCACTACCAAATTCCATCACTCGGTCATCCTCATACATCAGAAATTTCTGACAGTGTCCCCTTAATGCCTCAGTGTGTAGTATTTCAGCTTCCCAGACATGAAATAAGGGCTGTACATCAATCCCAGAAGCTGCTTAGATGTAAATAATAACAACTGACCCTTGTGGAATGTAATATTATGGGTCTGAATTCACATTTTATTGACATGAGAGTGTTCGATATCTTAAAATTATCTCCCCTGTTTACCCAAATACATTGTGTCTTTCTCTAACCCAGTAACCCATAAATTACTGCAGAGAAGCTCTGTTTTTAGCTGATATTGTCAAATACTGTTAATTGTAATTAAACATATTCAGTTTAGGGCAGGGTAACCAATAAATTTCCAAAGTTATGTGGATTTTTCACTTTGTTCCCTCTAAACTGGCTTATACATGAAATTGGCAAGTGTAACAGCCTCAAAACAATACACAGTCAATAGTTTTGAATTTCTGGAAGTATTTCAAAGTCTTAGCTTGATGAATCAATAGATTCAAATGTAAGTTCTTATCATGCTGTGGTCTAAAAGTGATTTCATCTGTTGAAAGGGTCATTTGCCTTGATCGACTAACAGGCGACAGGGTACTGTGGTCAGTGTTTCAGACTGCTAGGCATAATCCAACCCTCACTTATTACATTCTGGCAAAGTTCATCATCCAGCCTTACATATGTCAGGATGTTAAAGCTGCTTAATGTTAAACCTGTCCAATTTCTGGCCTGAATTCAATGATTTTTGTGGTTCAAAATATAGTTTGGATTGATATGATCAAAGGCAGTCCCAGTCATGCATGGAATTAACCCATGGCCCCCCTTTTTTGTGAAATAAGAGTAAACTCCCATGGTATATGTATGATTTAAAAACTTTCTCTATTAATGCAGAAGTGCATTTTGTATAGCTTTGGTGAAATAGACATGATATAACTCTTACAGCTCTGTCAGTGCAGCAAATCCATATATTCTTGTGCCATATAGATATGTTGGACAGGAAAAAGTATTGAAGCTTCATGCAGTTTTATATTTTTTCTGAGAAGTTGCATGTATACACAGTACATAAGTCACAGATTTGCCTAGGGCAAATGTTTCTAAATTTTCCTACAGGTTATACTACACTAAATGAGAATGCGCTTGCTCACTGAGCGAGATGCGTATGTAAACAAATGAAGAGATAAAGGCGTGTGACAGCTGTGATTGGATGAAATAGTGTAAGATGTTTATGTTTTTTAAAAGCATATCCAACCAGTAATTAAAACTGACCACAATTTTAAGTATTCAGTGCTGTGATTTCCATCACCATGACTTATGCTTATTGTGTGTACAGATATTTTCCAGTAGGTGACATTTGGTGCGGATCTGGGGTTGATGTGTTCCGCTTCCTGTGCTCGCAAAACGAGCCGGACAAGTTGGCCAGATAGTGTGTTTTTATGGTAGTTTAAAGGCCAGAGTGTACCCATGTGCACATGGAATGGCTGTTGATAGCCTGGATTATTTTAAAAAAAATATAAGGCTACTATAGAAGTCTATGGGAAAACATTTGGTGTTGTGTAACCTGTACTTACGTCATAGACAGATTACAATTGAAAATTAAAACAACAATGTCTTTATTGTTTTAACTAAATGCCTATATAGTGAGTAAGAGAAATGATAAAGCAATCTGCCATATTAACATGTCAAACATTTGTTAAACTCTCAAAAAAAACCCCAAAAACACACAATAGTACACCAGTATCTTTAAAATCTTAAAGAAAATATTAGGCTTACTCATGGTAACAAGAAAATGCTGAAATTCTGTAATTATGGTAGAAACACTGATATCAACCACTGAGTACCGACTCTGAAAAGTCTTTTGGTGTTCTGCTGTGTACATAATGTCCATAGAAAACAGACTCTGTTTTCCATCTCCCGACCTTCATGACAATTTTAGGATCCTGACAATTCTGAATCGCCAGTGTTGCTCCAGTTGGACGGAACGATTTTGCAGAAAACCCCTTGGAAGAGAGTCCGGCATCTTTTATGGATTGTTCTAGAATTGCTTGCACGCCTCTGTGGGGTGCATACAGAGACAAGAAAACACTACTAGTGTCCGTTCGGAGAGAGTCTGTCCGCTCTATGTAATCCTTCAAGGTCTTTACAGGGTCCAACTTGCTGCAATCTGCAGGCTGAACCAAAACCTCAAAACCAGTACGTGAAGTGCCATTTTTTATGCCAAAGAAGTTTATAGTCAGAGAACCATCTGCATGAAAAGACAATTGATTTGTGGTAAACTCGTTGCTCTTAGTCAAGCGGGTCTGGGCATCATAATGTACCGATTTTAGTGATATCTGATGGAAGCAACATAGCCACCAGAGCTAATAGAGTCACTGCCTTTGGCGGAGGAGCTGTTTTATTGACAATATTTTGTTATCTGGCCATCTCTGAAACAAATCATTCAATGCAGATACTGGCATCACCGTGGAGGCGCTGCATAGGAACCTCTGTACCAGACTTCACCAGAGCCTGTACTAATCTAGATACATCAGGAGTGTGCACAATGTTCTGAAGATTCATAGTTTCATACAGACAAGATATAGCGCGCGCATGCACTTTTCAGCTGAGATCTAGGTTTAGGCGATGAATCCGCAACCTTACACAGAAAGGTTGCTAACACAGAAATGTACTAGTAGGTGGAAAGACACACTTCTCTTCAACACAAAATCTCTAAACTTGTTAACAAAGGAATTGTACAAATGTAGAGTACTTGGCCAGAGCATGTGATATCTGATCAGCAGCTCGAAGTCGATCCACTCAGAGAGCAATTAACCGTTCCTCCATAGATCCTTCAAGCGAACAGTCTCCATTTTGGATTTGCCAGTGGTTCGGTTTTGCTAATAGTGGTAGGCAACAACGTCGTTGGCGAGGAAGCTTTAGAGGTGAGCAGACTGATAGTTTGAAGAAGGCGAAACCACGTCTGGGCTGGCCACCATGGTGCTATCACTGTGGCAAAGGACTTTGTGGACACAACTTTTGCAGAATGTCTGGTATCAATCTGAGCGGGCGTTGACAAAATTGTTGTGTATATGCCAATCGTTCTGAGCCAGCCCGTCGACTCCTTGAGTGTCATGCGGATCGCATGTTCGACTGTTGTATACTTGCAGCTGTGTGGTTTGATACGACGCCAAATCTGTCTACCGTGTGTGGTCCCACATGTAATCCAGCATATTGAAGACTGCGTGGGTGTAACCTCCACTGTACCGGTCGAATCGCGGGATAGCATGTCCGCCTCTACATTCTCCACGGGTAGATGGCTGAGCCACTAGCATAATGTCTCTGTCTAAGCAGAGCTCCATATTCTTGTTGCCAGCTCTGTTAACTCCTTGATGGGACCTCCCATGTGATTGAGGTAAGCCACTGTTGTCACATTGTCCGATAGCAATTGAATTTTTTCGCCTGTCAGGTGAATCGAAAATGACTTTAGAGCCATTAACACAGCAAGCATTTTCGAAAGTTTATTGACTGAAATGGAAGTGTCCACTGTCCATACACCCTGGCTGAAAGGCCTTTGAAAACTGCTCCCCAGCCGATGTTCGAGGCATCCGTTTCGAGCTGTCCGTCGAAGGTCCTCACAAGCATAGTGGTACCGTTCCAAGAATCGAAGGCTTATCCACCATTTCAGATCTGAAAGGCTATCATCAGTCAAACTAATGTTGATACCCCATGTGTGTTTGCTCGCAAGAAGCCTATACACTGACCTAAGCTTAAGTTTTCCTGGAAATATTGCTCTACAGACAGAGATACACTGGCCTGCAAGGGCTAAATGTCTAGCTCTAATGTAAAGGGACAGGTATCGGCTCTCCATTATGTCCTTCTTCAACTTTCTCACCTTGTGATTCGGGACCTTTAGAACAGGCACACCTTTAGGTCCGACCAGAATCCACCAAGAATCAAGAAATTCCTTTTAGTACTAGGGAGTGAGAGAAGATTTGTCATAATTTATTACCCATCGAGACTCTAACACAAATTACCTTGTTAGCATGGTCTGAAATAAGCTCCTTCTTAGCTGCAATGATAATATCGTCCATGTACACCAGGGTCTTATTCCTAATCCGCGAAGATGTCGAGCAACTGGTCTGAGAGTCTTACAAAGAAGTAAGGGCTTACTGATAACCCAAAGGAGCACATTCCACTGATAATACCATCCATGCCAATAAAACCCTAAGTATTTTCTATCATCACTGTGAATTGGTACATGGTGAAATCCATCCTTTAGATCCAGTGTAACCAAATAGTCATTTGGCTCAATAATAATGTGACAACATAGAGACATCTTCATATCTAAATTTTGGTACTGAACAAAAAGAGTTCACATATCGCAGATCGACAATTAAAGCGCGACTTGTGATTGCGTTTAGGAACAACACCTAGAGGATGCACACAATATGGTTTATCAGACACTCTTTGTATAGCTCCAGAAATTGTCAGTCTTGAAATCTCTTCATTAACAAAGTTAATCTGAGAACTTGTCAGCGATGATTGTCTTGAACACTTACAGAAGGAGAGCAATGGAAAGGTAAGTTAACACCATTCTGAATCAGGATAATATAAACTCTGGACATCAATACTTTGCCATTTCTGGTAACACCTAAGTAGAGCCATTACTGTTCCTGATCCACTTTCGAGGATTGTTATTGTGAAAAGTGGTCCGTCCGGTGACCGTAGGAGAATCTACCCCTGAACCGTGGTAACCTCGGACATACGCCCTCGGTTGAACCAGCTGTTCCGTGGTGGCCTGAATGCAGCGCAATGGTGGTGTAAAGCGCATTTAGGGTATTCAAGGATTCTTCATTAAATGAACATGTATTTCTCTGCAGTGTCCTGTATATCCTTGCAGTATTGCAGTCAAACTGGCCTTGAACTATCAGAGATGACTGTTCCTCCTGCAGATAGCGTATCTGTCGAGTTGAACTTGATATAGTTTAATCAATCGTCCTGTGTAATGTTTCTTGCATCAGCCACTTGAAACAAAAAGTTTCAATGTTGTTTCACTATAGCTTTAGCACACCTTGCTACAACTGCCGCATGTTGTTGATCCTCACGTTTAATACCCTGCTTAGAATCAGGCACTTTCAAGTCTGCAGGGAGTTTTACATTGGTTACAGTGTCGCATTATCGTTTGATACTCTCCCTGAACATCCAAAGCTGCGCCATTATAAAAGCGGCACCCTGGGCACTATCGTGCTGAAACCCCTTGGGATTGAAATTATTACTTGATATATCATCAGTTTGGCTAGCACTGTTGCTATGTCTATCTACGCATCACGCGGTAGGGTCAAAGTTCACTGAACCATGCGGTCCGACTGACTATCAACGCCCTCAAAGATATTAGACAAGCATCTAAGAGAACAAATATCATGGTCTAAACGATCTAACCTATGTCTTGTTTCACTATTCTGCACTTTCACCTCCTTCAAAGCTTCAAGTATATCATTAAACTTGCAATTTTCTTCATCAGCCTTTTCGGCCATGTCGGCGGACGTAGCACCAGACAAGAACAACTAGTCAACCTTCGTTGACTAGAGATTCCCTACAAGGAAAGGGAGGTAACTCTGCGTAATCTGTCTGACTACAGGCTGACTGACTACTTCATGTTATCTACCTGCCTAAAATTATACAATGAGGATTCATGGTCAGATTAGGTCTTGATCTGGGTCACAATATTCTCAACGTAGTTGCAGATGATTACAATGTATGACCTTAGTGTAATCATGTTATCATTGTTAAAGCTAACTTTCATTTGGAAGTGCAGTGCTTTCAGAGCTGTTTCAGGACTGTTTCTGAAACACTTGGACTCTTGTGTGAGTAGTTACTGTATACAGCACTTGTGTGTGCTATCCCTGTTACACACAGCACTGATACATACTACACCTGTGTTACCTGATACAGTTCTGATGCATGCTGCACCTGTTACCTGATACAGTTCTGATGCATGCTGCACCTGTGTTACCTGATACAGTTCTGATACATGCTACACCTGTGTTACCTGATGCAGTTCTGATGCATGCTACACCTGTGTTACCTGATACAGTTCTGGTGCAGGCTACACCTGTGTTACCTGATACAGTTCTGGTGCATGCTACACCTGTGTTACCTGATACAGTTCTGATGCATGCTGCACCTGTGTTACCTGATACAGTTCTGGTGCATGCTACACCTGTGTTACCTGATACAGTTCTGGTGCATGCTACACCTGTGTTACCTGATACAGTTCTGATGCATGCTACACCTGTGTTACCTGATACAGTTCTGATGCATGCTACACCTGTGTTACCTGATGCAGTTCTGATGCATGCTGCACCTGTGTTACCTGATACAGTTCTGATGCATGCTACACCTGTGTTACCTGATGCAGTTCTGATGCATGATACACCTGTGTTACCTGATACAGTTCTGATACATACTACACCTGTGTTACCTGATACAGTTCTGATGCATGCTACACCTGTGTTACCTGATGCAGTCCTGATACATGTTACACCTGTGTTACCTGATAGTGATACAGTTCTGATGCAGGCTACACCTGTGTTACCTGATACAATTCTGATGCATGTTACACCTGTGTTACCTGATACAGTTCTGATGCAGGCTACACCTGTGTTACCTGATACAGTTCTGATGCATGCTACACCTGTGTTACCTGATACAGTTATGATGCATGCTACACCTGTGTTACCTGATACAATTCTGATGCATGTTACACCTGTGTTACCTGATACAGTTCTGATGCAGGCTACACCTGTGTTACCTGCAGGCTACACCTGTGTTACCTGATGGGCAATTCAGATGCATGTTACACCTGTGTTACCTGATACAGTTCTGATGCAGGCTACACCTGTGTTACCTGATACAGTTCTGATGCATGCTACTTCTGATGCATGTTACACCTGTGTTACCTGATACAGTTCTGATGCAGGCTACACCTGTGTTACCTGATACAATTCTGATGCATGTTACACCTGTGTTACCTGATACAGTTCTGATGCATGGTACACCTGTGTTACCTGATACAGTTCTGATGCATGCTACACCTGTGTTACCTGATACAATTCTGATGCATGTTACACCTGTGTTACCTGATACAGTTCTGATGCAGGCTATGCTACAGTTCTCATGCATGCTACACCTGTGTTACATCACAGCACTGATCCATGTTACACCTGTGTTACCTCATACAGGACTAATGCATGATACAACTGTGCTACATCATACAGTACTGATACATGTTACACCTGTGTTACCTCATACAGGACTAATGCATGATACATCTGTGTAACATTATAAAGTATTGATGCATACTACATCTGTGTTACACCATACAATACTGATGCCGCTACACCCTAGTTACATCATACAATACTGAAATATGCTACACCTGTGTTACATCATACAGTACTGATGCCCGCTACACCTGAGTTATATCATACAATACTGAAATATGCTACACCTGTGTTACATCATACAGTACTGAAATATGCTACATCTGTGTTACATCATACAGTATTGTAAACCAAAAGTCACTGTGTTCTTTAATCTGATTGGTTGAAAAATGTGATCAAATGGTATTCAATTCCCGGAAATTCGCTGCGTATTAATACATGCAAACATCGCTCACACCATTGTATTGTTACGTCGTCAGCTGTGATGATGTCATTAAAATCATATTGTGTCGTAAAGTCTGAATGACGTCACAAATGAGCAGTTCCAGATGCTACCATGGGAAACAACCGAAACGGCGGGCTGATGACATTTTACTGCTGTACCGTACTCGATGTCAATGAGTGCAGACACAAAAACGTGTGTGGACCTTTAGGTTTACTTTGTGTTTACAATGTCGATAAACATCATGTGTTGGCCAATTTCCGGGTGTTATCGAGTATTTGAAGCACGGGAATATTTCATTTGAAACCTCCGGCTGACGCCGTCGGTTCCAAATAAATTCCCATGCTTCAAATACTCAATAACACCCGGAAATTGGCCAACACAAGATGTTTATCTCCTAACTGATGCCCGCTACACCTGAGTACTGATGCCCGCTACACCTGAGTTACATCATACAATACTGAAATATGCTACATCTGTGTTACATCATACAGTACTGATGCCCGCTACACCTGAGTTACATCATACAATACTGAAATATGCTACACCTGTGTTACATCATACAGTACTGAAATATGCTACATCTGTGTTACATCATACTCATACAGTACTGATGCCCGCTACACCTGAGTTACATCATACAATACTGAAATATGCTACATCTGTGTTAGATCATACAGTACTGATGCCCGCTACACCTGAGTTACATCATACAATACTGAAATATGCTACACGTGTTACATCATACAATACTGATGCCCGCTACACCTGAGTTACATCATACAATACTGAAATATGCTACATCCGTGTTACATCATACAGTACTGATGCCCGCTACACCTGAGTTACATCATACAATACTGAAATATGCTACATCTGTGTTACATCATACAGTACTGATGCCCGCTACACCTGAGTTACATCATACAATACTGAAATATGCTACATCTGTGTTACATCATACAGTACTGATGCCCGCTACACCCTAGTTACATCATACAATACTGAAATATGCTACACCTGTGTTACATCATACAGTACTGATGCCCGCTACACCTGAGTTACATCATACAATACTGAAATATGCTACATCTGTGTTACATCATACAGTACTGATGCCCGCTACACCTGAGTTACATCATGCAGTACTGATGCCCGCTAGACCTGAGTTACATCACGCAGTACTGATGCCCGCTAGACCTGAGTTACATCATGCAGTACTGAAATATGCTACATCTGTGTTACAACATGCATCACAGATACACCTGTTTCAACTCACCTGTGCCTGGCCTTGTTCTTGCTTTTCTTGTGTCTGACAGCGTTGGCCTTCAGCACCTTGCCGGAGTGGTTGGTCTGGGGAGGGATGTGGTTGCCATTACTGCTGGCATTACTGGACTGGCTGTTGCCATTGGCCGACGCAGAGGCCAAAGTGGAGTTAGGTGTGTTGGCGCTATTCTGATTGTTCTGGGAGTCAGGGCTGGGCGGTTCTCCTGAAATGTCACATCAGTTTCATTAAATGGCACTAGTCCCGTTGGAAAGATATTCAATACACGACTTAGTTCACCTGATAAGTTATTTAAACAAGATTACACACCTGAGGTAGTTTAGATAGGCACTAGCTCATATTTAAACTTAGTACCAAGTTAACCAAGAGTTAAAAAAACAACAACCCAAAACCATCAAACTTCATCATAATGCTAACAAGTTAATTATGACTCATGCAACCATTGACAGAACATGTTTGATATAAATTACAACACCAATTATACCTAATATATCAATTATAACTTTTATCAGTGTGTTCAGTATTAATTAAACTATTTTATGACAACAGCAGACTCTTTGCTTACGTTTCTCCTGCTGGTCAGCCACACCACTCACAGCCTGTAAAATGAAAGCTTGTCAGGTTAGAATATATTTACCTTAGACCTAGATGCAGCAGAATTACAAGTATTTTCCACTCAACAGCTAAAAGTGTTATCTGTAGCCCTGTATACAACGATTCCACTGCACATACACATCAACATGATCAACTCAGTAGCTTCCTGAGTTACAGGGGCACCTGGTCATCCGAGCTGCTGCAAGTCGACATGCAGAGTTGTGTCCCTTGGACACAACAGTAACTACTGGCAAACAAGGATAAGTTGTGCACCGACCTGACAATTGACCCATATTAGCATGTATGAGTGCTGCCCACTGGCACTTGCCATTGTCAGCGAAGGGGCCCCTGGTTGTCCGCGATCAAGTGTAGTGCGACTTGCTACACCGACGTGAGAGTCTTATGAGCAAGGCATGTGCAGCTACGCTCGCGGAATCAAGTTCATCGTCATGCAATGCATGTGCACTAGCCTCCTTCTGCTCAACCTTTCACAAACCAAATGGGTTTGCTCATTGCTGTGCACCGCCTACTTCTCGAAAACGCATTTTCTGCGCCGGTCCAACTTATCCTTGTTTGCCAGTATGACACTGGGTCCGAATTCCCCTTTGCCCTGATTTTGTTATAGAATTGTCAGCACCATACCCATACTCACAGGCTTCACTAAAGTGGTGAATGTCAAGACCTGTATCACTTTGGGCTTTCCTTCAACAATAAGCTGACATGACGACCGTCTCTGTGGTGTAGTGGTTAGAGCGTCCGCCCGGAGAGCGGAAGGTCGCAGGTTCGATCCCCGACCGCGTCATACCAAAAGACGTTAAAATAAGGTACTTGTTGGTCCCTGTCTGGCGCTTCGGCATTAATGGGTCCAACAAGGACTGGTCGGCTCGGAGTCAGTATAATGTTGTCTGAGTGGGGTATTCATGCTTCACTGCGGCATGGTATCTCAGTGGGCTAGCACTATAAAACCAGCTTAAGTCTGGGCTAGTACAAGCAGCAGCACATACACATACACACGCATGCACATCGTCATATGAGTGAAATATTCTCAAGCACGACGTTAAACCCAATTTCACCTCACCCCCATAAGCTGACATGATATAAGTGGAATATTCTTAAAAGCAGCTGTAAACCCAAATGCTGCCTGTCACACATGTCCTGCCCAAGGTCAATCTTACATGGAGTTCATCTGTCACATGATCGCAATGGTTAATTCCACTGTAGATACTATCAAAACAATCTTCAACATTCTATCTGTATTAAACACAAGGACTCACAGCTGCAGAAGTTACAGACGACTTAGAAAACAACCGATCTGCCTCCTTAAACTTGCGATTCCTCTTGTCTGCTTTGCTGTTAGTGTTGCGACTGAAACAAAATCATCAATTTCACTATTTCACAGCAGAAAACCAAGATCAAATGTTTTCTGAGGAGCCATAGTGTAGATGATATATTACTTGTAAAGAAACCAATACCTTAACAGTCAACAAACTTCACAAAGACCCTAAATTCAAAATGAAACAAGTGTTTGCCACTAACATGGCAATGTCCCCCGCTGCTAGTGAAGAATGAAATATAACATATTTTTTTATCTTTCGGTCACATAGAAGATTACCTTTTGTGTTATGTAGTTTTTAGTCATGCTCACTTCTCAGAGTTTTCTCCAGCTCTGAAGATATTTCAGGAATATAGTAGATTTGAATGTGTAGATGCAGATGCACTATCAGCATCCGTGTGTATTAGGGTTGGGATGGGTCCAAATGTTCTACCTGGGCACCGCACCCAGTATTACCCTACACTACCCTGATACCCTTTATGTTAAGTTCAGATGAGAAAAAACTGAAGGCAGCATATTTCCCAAAGCGACATCAGAGGTACAGATAACTTTTTGGACCATTGGGTTATGTACTCGCTTTATTCATCTCTATTGGGTATCCTAATTTTCCTTTGAGTAACCAAACATATTGTACTCACCTCACTGAAACTCATTTGGGTATTTTGCCATATTCCAATAATTTTAAAAATATATTAAAGCTTAAATGTTAGTGTTTGTTATTTAAATTTGATCTGTAATATGAGAAACGATAAGAAAGACTGCAAGTTGCCAAGTTTATGTCCTGAAATTGAACCCCATATATACTGCAGTTATTTATCTATCCACCTGTACACTTTTGTGTGTACGCGTGTAGGATCACTTTTATTGAGTATTTAAACAAATTCAAGCGTACCTGTACGCAATAGACTTAATAGGAATTGAGTTTTCACATAAATATTTGCGTAATTTACGCAGATACGCAGCTTATCTGTACCTCTGGACATTGAGGTCAAGCATCAAAGAACACACTTGACATCAGGTGTAACAGTTCATGGGATATCACATTAACAAGATTTTAAAAAGTGTCATGTGACTTTGAAGATATGGTCAAGGTCTACCTAAATCGACTGTTCTCTGTGTAATTCCCCAATGTAGGCTGTCACCAAATTTGAAGACATTGGGTACAACAGTGCATGAGATATCGCGTTAACAAGAATCAGGACAGGCGGACAGATGCTGTTGAATACATAGTCCCCAGTTCCACGTTGCGTTGCATTGCATTGGGTAAAAATAATGATAATAGCAACAACAACAGTATCATATTGCCAAAGCCTCAAAGCGATTGGTGATTTACCATTTTTAACAGTCCGCAGCAAAAAACATTAAGACACAAAAACACAAAAATGATACTCCCTCATGGAGTTGGAGAGGTATCTATGAGAAACAAGATTACATGAAATATTAAGACAGTATTCCTACTTGGTGTTGGAGAGGTATCTGTCCCAGCCGCGGATGATGTTGCCATACAACTGTGTGTCCTCCAGGTAACTTCCTTCAAATGCGTAGATCTGACGCTCTAGATTCGCCAGGGTATCCTGCAAACATTCAATATTCAGCATCAGTACAACATACAACAATCAGCAACAGAACATACAACAACAGCAACAGAACAACATACCACAACAGCAACAGCAACAGCAACAGCAACAGCACAACATTCAGCCAATGACATAACAGACATTCAAATCTTGACTATCAACCATAGCCTCAACCAACAGTGAAAAGTTGAGCAAATACTAGCAGTGTATGAAAAAAGCACGTCCGACCGGCCGAGATGGGCTAGATTTCTGACGGACGGTCTATATGGTGGTCTGGTAGAAATTTTAGATAACACGTTCCATACATCTGAGTAAATGCAACATATCTTGAAATCTATTCTTCAAATTGAGCGTTACATTTACACTTGACAATTACTGTTTGAACACTGAACTATCGTATCGCAAGCTCAAAGCACTGACTAACTAAGAATTGAGTTATTTTCTTTGGATTGTCTGGTCTGGTTAAATCCATTTTGGGCTGGTAACATTTTGAAGTTACCAGCCCTGATGTCTGGCTGGGTTTTTGGCTTATTTCATACACTGATAATAGCTTAAAGGTCACATGCAACCAAAAAATCAAACATAATTAAAACACAATTATCACTTCTTCATGACATATAATATGCATTGCTGCATATGAAAAAACAAATAAACAAAATTATAAGCGTATAGTCGCAAATCAAAAGCGCAATATTTTGTACTTGGGTTTTCCTCCCTCGAAACGAAGCAGCCGGGATACCGAACCCAGTCAGAGCGGGTGGGTGTGCACTCAAGTGTAACGGCTAGTTCATTTGCAGATGCCGCCTTCACGGCTCATTGTGTGTGTATATATAGAGATGTTGGGGTTTGTAAATACATACTCATTTTGTGTATAACATTTTGCAATCAACAGACATCATAACATGTCATGTGTTCAAGTATCACACCTGCCTGTCTGTGTAATTACATAATGTGACAGAGACCGAACTCGGGCCATAAATCAATGCATTTTGTTTATGGTGTATAGCCTGATTGGTGTTAAGTTCAAATTGCATGTGGTCAGTGATCGCGGTTGTGTATTGAATATTGTCATTAGCAGACAGGCAGGCAGACACACAGGTGTCAATAAAACAAGACATTGAGTTTTGTCTGTGACAACGACATATCTATATCACAGTTAGAAATTGTGTCAGCTAAATAATGACATTGCTTTTAAGTGTCGAACTGAGAAAGTGACTCGGTAAGAAGAGCGTGTGGTGAAATAGACAAATGAAATTATATAAACAGTTAATTTACTGTCATAACATATAAAAGCTTCGGCCTGTGAGATATCAACAAAACATTGGGAAAATAGCTCACACCAAAGCCTTCACCCGGTATTCACCAGACAGCCAGCTTCCAAGTTCGCGCGAACCTATTTCACTCTTGCGCATGCTATGAGCGCCAGCCCAGCTGTTGAAACCCGTTTTCCCCCGAAATTTTCGGGGGAAAATTAGTGAATCGTTTGAACTCCGATTTCGGGCGGTTTTTTTTATCGCGTTATTTTTCAACTTTATAACATGAATTTGCATTTTTGATGATTTGTTTCGGTACGTCCATACCGGAAGGTATCAGAATCTGCAAAGTTGTGTTTTACGTTGCATGTGACTTTGAAACTATAAACTATCCATGGTAACCATCCCATGTATTTTTGGCTCAGATTCAATAATTCTGGACTCTTGGAAACTTTGTGTTAGGCCATGCATCAGTAAAACTCTTGTATTGCAATATATTGATAAGCATGTTTGAATAAATGTCAACACTTGCATCACTTGACACTTTTCTCTCTGCTGATAAACTGTAATATGACAAGTTGTGTTCAATGAAGCTGTTAGGACGATCATACAAAATGTACTATATTAGTGCTAAAGACTGGGAAGAACAATATGTTGATCCAATTTTCAAAATACATAAGTAAATCTCAGTATGGTCATCAACACTATTTGAGCAGAGCTCCAGATAAGATTTAGCTCATGTGGGTACTGTACCCACTGTATTTTTTTTGGAGTGGGTATTATGAATGTTGAGTGGGCATTTCATTTTCCGTTACCTACTGATTGCAAATATGTGGGTATTTCAGTGATTTTACTCACCTAAATATATGTCATTGAGTAAGTTTACTAAGCAGGTATGTACTGCCTTGTCACACCTAATCAGAACCATTTTAAATATAATGGAAATGATTTCATAAAAAATAACTCATCCTCACTCATCCTGTACTGACAGTACAACTTGATACCAATCGATGTCTTTTTCATTACGCAAGTGATTTTTATAGATATATTCCGTACCCATATGTTTTAAACTTTGTGCCTATCTAACATTTTAAATGCGTAATTGGTACGCAACAATTATTTTTCAATGCGTTATTGGAAATTTTCTGTATGTATTTTACCCAAATACGCAGCTTATCTGGGCCTCTGATTTGAGTTCAGTTTCTCTCAAGCTGAAAATTTGGAAAACCTTTTCAGTTGCAGTAAATATAAAACATATTTTAATTAATCCTAGCTTGGACCCCATACAAGTATCACTTAGTTGTGTATTAAAACACACAACTTATTTATCATTGCTTATACCTGTGGCATTATGTGTGCTGTTCATGGTTTGAATGTAACTTAAATAATCTCCATCTGTTTCAGATGGAAACATGAATTTGAAACCACAGGAAATGATATAGTGGGTTATTTTTCATACAAGGAAAACGCAAGCTTGGGTTGATGAAGAAGGAAATATCATAATTGTTGAATCATAATTAGAAAGGTATTTCCAATAATCAGACAATTTAGGGTAAATACATAAAATGAATGAAACACCACAAAGAAATCACAAAAATGGTACCTTTACAACCTAAACATTTAACTTCGGAAATCAGTTACATAGTATGATAAGTAAATTGTCTGATTTATGTTACTGAAGTATTCAGCATAAATTTGAATGACTAATATACTCAACACATTGTTTTGTACACATTAGACTTAGATTAAATATAAGAGTCTTTTACCGTGAAAAACATTTCATTTCCCAACTCCACTACGAAAGTTATTGTCAATAAGTGAGCAATTATGACAACAGGAAAATGAGAAACTGATGCATACTTTTAACATGATGATATGAGTGTGCTCTGTCAATTACTCCTAGCATTGGAATTTAATGTTTACATGAACATTTGTCTAAAATTGTAACTTATTCCACATTATTCCCAGCGATCATAGCTGCCTTTTCATATCTTAGATCTTAATATTATCAGTCAATCAGCATCATGAACAGAATAACAACCTGCACTGTTATTAAGTTTCAATTGTTGTGCCAAAATTAACACACTTGACAATGTTGGTTAAACATACACAGATAACTGTAAATAACTGGCTATTCATGTTAAGTAGGGAAAGTTACTGTTTTCTTCAAATGGGATGCCTGACACTCTATTCATTTGTATGTGACAGGTGCATGATCAATCTTTGTCAATCAACTTAAGTTCAAATATAACATATATAGTATATATTTAGGATTACACTTTCTGAGTTACATTTTGATTCTATTACTTTTGGGGGTCCCATCCAGGGATCGATCCCACAGTCAGATATGTCAAGGGTTATCACCAAATCACCAGATCTGAACTCTAAAATGTCCTAAAATATGTCATTTAGTGAAAAAGTGTAATCCCAAATATATCAAGTTACATTTGATTTCTTTCTAAATGGCTTCATGCATTCAAGTATGGCTGAACAAGTTAGAGAAACACATTTGACCAAGTTTACTAATCTTTCTAGTTTCTTTGTCAGCCATCCACATATATGAATGACAATGTTCAAACTGACAAGATTCTGATGTTGATAATCATAAGAGATATATATGACTCAATGAAACTTAGGGAGTCGGTGTCCATACATGCGGCAAGAAGCGGGTTAACTTGTTCTGATGTCAGAATATATTTAATCATTTCGACAGGAACGTCCAAAAATATATGATATTGTTCATGTCCCATGATTATAACAGGTTGTTTCAAGTCGTTAATTACTAGTAGTTGAAATGCATATGGTTGATCTTAAGTCTATTGAAAGCCACTGTGCGACCAAATTATAACCGTTTTTCGTCAGGTTGTGAAGTGATGTTTTCTCTGTCAAAATCTGTCAATATAGTGTCAGAGGGATTTTGTTGACGACACATCTCCATCGGTAAATACTGATCAGTGAAGTCTGTACCGTGCACGTAAATAGAAACATTGCCCTAGACCACAACCCTTAAGTTCCTCACAGCAATTTCTGCTCGACGCCGCACTAACTCGACTAATTCCGCACGGGTATCTATTGGGTGAGTATTCTTCATGGCGGCCATTTTTAGACTAGTTTGACAAGAGAGCGCTCCCTACAGGGATAATATGGCTTCCTTGCTGATACCCAATGCGAACGACACGCGCTGAAGGGAGCTTGGTTCAAGCGCGCACTCGTCATCATTCGTTGCATGCCGGGGCGAGCCATTCGTCAGCACTCGCCCCTTTCCGTAACCTGGGTATTCGGCTTGTCCCGAGTTGGTCACGAAAGCGGCGGAAATGGGGATGAACCCATTCGTCAGCACTCGCCCCTTTCCGTAACCTGGGTATTCGGCTTGTCCCGAGTTGGTCACGAAAGCGGCGGAAATGGGGATGAACCCATTCGTCACCACTCGCCCCTTTCCGTAACCTGCAAGAAGAGGCTTGTCCCGGAATAACACGAGTTGGTCACAAATGGGGATGAACAGAATATACGCATGTTTGCAAGTTATATTTAGACATCTGGTTTTTCAAGCGAGTTGAACTGAAACTGTGAATCGAGGATCGATATTTCGCTCAGATTACAAATGGGAAAACTGTTGGGACTTTCAGTAGAAGCCTCGTTTAATCTCGACGGATATTATTGTTTATGGTGTGCAACAGAATCTAACAGAAAATGTTGGATTTTAAGATACACCTGTCCCACTTTTCTCCTAAACACCGCAATAAATATAAATAAATAGAAAACAACCCCCAAATCAAAGCAAATGTTCGACAGAAAATAAATTGCACGTCAGTACGTGGCATTTTATTGGTTAACGACACAAAATGTGGAATATACATTTGACTCTAACCTTGATGACATTTTAGGACATTATATTATGTTTTGTTAGTCTTTGTTTCTTCGAGCCAATAATATTACACTTCAGGAAAATATGTGACGTTACCCAGCGGGCACACAACGTTGAATCAACGTTGTATTTTGGTTGTTTGGTTGATCAACCTTTCATAAACGTTGATTCAACGTTTTTCATGCGACCAAAGAAAGTTGGTCGAGATTCGTTTAGTTGTCAACGTTGTTTCAACGTAAGGAACCAACAAAATGTCAACTAATTGTTTCCTTGGCAAATTTGATACATAATTCATATTGGTAATAGGTATCCAACTTAGCAACTATCATTTCGGAACATTAATTTCATAAAAGATCAAGATCGAGCTAGTGACACCAGAGACCATATAATAGTCTTATATATTGTTTGATTGTGCATCGATCAACGGACGGAAATATTACGTAAATCGCAATTGAAAATGAAAACATCAATGATTTTAGGTATAATGTCATCAGTTATCCGAATTGCATTACATTTGATATTTTCCCACAAAACTGTCAAAATTGTATAATTCCCGACAATTTGCTTTCAAACACATGCCAGATCGCCTGGTTTGGCCATCTCTGGACATGCGCACAATTATCGCGCGCGCAAAGGCAGCTGAACGTGTCAGTTTACTTTGGCGAAGTTCAACGCAATATCGTTCTATTTTCAACATCTTCACGGCATGCTGGTGTTTATTTGGTAAGTATGTCCTTCATGTATAATGAAAACGTAGGAATGTTGTTTAAATCTAGCAGGCAGAATGGCGAAAGGAAATCTTTCACAGATCATGCAACGGAAATTCATATCAAAATGTCTTGTGCAAGTCTTTGTTAAGGATGAAATTGCATATAATTTATTTGAACTTTTATTTATTTACAAAATGTGTAACTTCACTATTGATTCTTTGATGGGACAATTAACAAAACTGCACTCACAGACTTTCATTCTTACACTTGTTTGGAAGGGATGTGATGATTCATGTCTCTTAAAGGTTAAAATGTTACATACAAAAGAAGTAATTTAGTAAGGAACATTTAATTATGAAATAAGATATAATTTTAATGGAATTTGCAGAAATCTCATCTTCGAAGACTGGGTGGCATCAATTTTGTGGATCACATAAAAGGAGCAATGTTAATTAGGTAACAAGTTTTTAACATTTCACTTGTTTCCAGTATATCCACCACAAAGGTTGATCATGTAAGAGAATAATTTGACAATGATTTCTCCCTGAGATGTTTAGTTTAATGAGCACTCCCTTGCTTGGCGCCATATTGTTTTTCGCCGTAAAGAGCTGGTGCCGTTCCACTAACCGATCTTATCTAAGATCAATCTTAGCAAGTTACGCCAATTTTACGATCGCCTTAGCTAAAAGTTACACCCGTTCCACTAACCGATCTTAGGCCGATCGTAGCCGGTCCCGATCTTACGATCCGATCCAAGCTTAGATCGAGACTCTTTCGTGCGAGAGATAGAGGAATGCGAGGCGCGCGTTATCTCCGTTTGCATAGTCTAGCAAATGATAGAAAGTAGTTTACGAACCAACTGAGTGAGTGAGTGAGTTTAGATTTACGCCGCACTCAGCAATAGTCCAGCTATATGGCGGCGGTCTGTAAAATAATCTAGCTAAGATGCATAGCGTTCACTAACATGAGCGTTCATGTTAGTGAACGCTATGTATCTTGCTATAAATAATCGAGTCTGGACCAAACAATCCAGTGATCAACAGCATGCGCATCGATCTGCGCAGTTGGGAACCGATGACATGTAATCAACCAAGTCAGCAAGCCTGACCACCCGATCCGTTAGTGGCCTCTTACGACAGGCATGGGTTATTGAAGTTCAATATTCTAACACGGTCCTTCATGGGTATTTTTCCAACCAAGTGTAAACGTGGAGAAAAAACCGAGAGCAAAATATTTGGGTACTGAGCACCTTGGTTTCAGGTGCAAGTGCGTGAGAACGCTGGGTATCAAGCATAATATAATAATAATAATTGGATATTTATAGTGCGCCTATTCCACATCAGTGGGCATGCTCAAAGCGCTGTGTACAGATCTATAATTTACACGAGAATATTTACAGCCGAGATTATAAGTAATGTACTGAGAACAGGTTTTTTAGTCTGTCAATTGTGTCAGAGCTTTTAATATGTGCCTGAACCTTGTCAATCAGAATAAACAAGGCGTGACGAGGCTATAACGTATGTAGAATCTGTCAGTGGTCTTGAATAACACGCGGCCTGCCTTCCGAATTCCCCACCAAATATGCGCAGTGAAATCAAGCATATTTGTATCTTTTTGCTTCAGAACATTGTTCACTTCACGGCTGTCCCTATTCTTAACCATGACGTTGCAGTATTGTTGTACAAATGTGTCACACCGACTCGCTCGGTTGTGTTCCCATGACGACAGTGGTCAGACTGGCCTGACATTTGTAAGGCTTGTTCAGCGCAGTGTTTGTTTACATCACAGAAATATACAAATTCATTTCATGGGGGACTTTAGGGGACGCTCACGGTGAAATGCTCGCTCTTATTTTTCACATAGAATAGGAAAGCCACCATTTTGGTTTCTCTACGATTGATTTTACCTATCCTAAGTTGGTCATGAGCAACTTAGACTTTGAATCTTAACTTTACGATTGACTTAGGTAAGATTGGTTAGTGGAACGGTATGCCGATCGTAACGTCACACTAAGATTGGGATTTTAGGGGTTTACGATTGGCATAGGGCTAAGATCGGTTAGTGGAACGGCACCCTGGATGCGAGAAAGCACGCGAGAGGACAGAAGTCATAAATTTATAGAGATATATAGATGTTTATTGCTGGGAGACCACTCTTCAGGTATTTGGTCAGCTGTAGAATTTGAATATGATGTTTCTTTATTATTGTCAAAGTGTAGGTTTTTCATTATTTTGCATTTAAATGTGTGTGCAGTGAAACATACTGAGATTTGGAAGAGTCCATTATTTAGAGTACAGGTATTGTTAGATATCAGCATTTTATGTACATGTTCCCATGTCAAGATCATCAATCGAGTATATTAGAGAGAAGGTGTATATTTGTAGTGTTTTAAATCAGAGTTATTTTCAGTGTATGACCTACATTTCAATATGTTTTGGCCACCTGTCACCCCTTTGGCCAATTAGAGTAGGACTTCCATTTCTTGGAATATTGAGAGTCAGCGATACACTGTTTCCAAGAATTTGCGTGTGCCAGCGATGTTTGTTTACGAGTACATTTAAGTCTTTTTGAGTGTAAATTGGAGTTGTAAGAGATGTTATTCAGTGTCTTATTATTCAGGGTATGATAGATTATTTCTGGCAGTGTAGAGTTTAATCTCATTATTTTATTGTTCATGATTCAGAGAAGCATAGTTATGACATCGTAGATATTATAGGCACACATAATTCATTATATGAGAGATTTTCTAAGCGTTCCTATAAGAGATTAAGTGTAAACATTTCTGAATTATGAAGAAGTTATTTATCTGAGTTTTATGAGTGTACAAATGGCAAAGAGAGAAAGAGTAGATAATAGGGAATATATTGTATACTTATGAGAGCTCATTATTGTTTTCAGAACTCCATGATCCATACTTCCTTGTGTTTGGGAATAAATGGTGTTGGAAGACCTTCCACAATAGACTTGTTCTTTGACCTGTGAACCACCACCCATTTTGTTTTCTTATCATTTAATGTAAAATGGCTTTTGTTACAATTTATGACTCCTGTTAGCACAATTGCTACATCAGTACAACTCCTATTTAATTTGAAATAATCGTTTCCGAGAATCTCTAAAGAAAACTAAATCTGACAGAATAACAACAATCTTCAATTGTTTTGCAGGACACTGTCAAACAATTTGATGTCAAGAATGAATGTTGATGGGCAAAACGGCAAGTTTTCTTTTAGGAATACAAGGTTGTATTCAATCATCTCTGGTAATTTAATTTCCAAATGCAGCATTTTCATCATGACCATAGCAAATAATATATGACAGTAAAGCATCGTCTAATTCATCATAATTCTTAGTCTAATTGAATAATCAACTTGCAGTTGAGGATTTTCTTTGAAAATGTTTAAGAAAACGTCCATTCCTTTTGTTGAAAATATAAATTGTTTACGTTTTTCGTCACATTTTGTATTGATGCTGTTCATATGTTCACATGGCAAGTTACAGCAGTGAAATGAACCTTTCAAGTGATTGATTAAACAAATACTTGAATCATTTAAGACAATATATCTTCCATATAAAGTTATTCATGTATTTAAATATAAAATT